AGACTGCATCGTGAAATGTCTTCTTATACATGACACCTAATTCCAATCTTCTTACTCCACTATTCTTATCACATTGGCGGCCTTCTCTTCGTTCATTTGACGCTGCGTTGGCCTATTTTTTCCAACAATTGCCCCTCATTTTGGCTAATCAACCAGCTCAAGTCATTTTTTTGGTGTACATTGCTTTTCCCACTGAAGTATTGCAGTTCCGGTTTGCTTACATCAAGTTGATTTCCTAAGAGGTATTGTCGTTCCGGCTTGCTTAAAGTCAAACGGGAATCGCAATATTTCATAGGAAATGAGCTGAAATTTGCTGAAACCTATGCGTTTTTCCATTTTTCGATGGGGTACCACCTTTTTGCTTAAACAAACGTGGTGTTCCATACTTCATTTTCACAAAACAAGTAACAGATTGGAATCGAGAGTAATGCTTTCAAGGTCAGTTTTACGTTAATTTTGGTAACAAAAATAGAAATCATCTATCCAGTTCCTTACCTCCTTCTCAGTCCCATGGATAACTCGCTATTAATTTATATAGCTTGTCCCAAGCAGATATAGCTGTCTATTTACTCAACTAGCCGATTTAGGAATTTCACGCCGGAAGAAAGGTCAAATGCACTTTTCGTCCATTTGATTCCCCAATGGGTATGAAGTCCAACTCCAGCTCCTCCCAGTGGTTTCAGTCTCATTAATCAAATCCTTCAATGATTATTTAAAGGCTAATTCATCGCCTTGCTCCCCCACCCCTTCCCAAATAATAAAACCCTAGAAATAAAATAAAGAAAATGATGTGTCATCTTTCGATGACATTCCAGCGGGATGTCGGGAATCGACGCTTCTAGCGGAGATCGGACTTCTGACAGGAGTCCAATTCCCTCGTTTCGGTGGAATGTCATCGAAAGACGACACATCATTTTCTTTATTTTATTTTATTTTATTTTTAGAGTTTTATCATTTGGGATGGGGGTGGGGGAGCAAGCCAATGAATTCGCCTTTACATCTCCCAATTTGGAGAATAACTGACCCTGGTCATAACCCAAGAAACCTTGGGGTATATAGGCCTAGGTGGGCGACGCATTTGCGCCTTTACAGTTATGAATTTTATCAATTGCGCGCAATACCATCTCCGAAAGAATCACTCAACGACGTAATTCATCAACCATGCAAAATCTCAACGCCCCGTTCTGACTTCCACAATATAAGTGAACAATATCAACAAGAACAATTATGGCGAAACAACATATAATAGTGGCAAAATAATGATAATTAATAATGATTACTGTTATTGTCATTATTATTGTCGTTACTATTATTATAGTTATTGTTATAACCACAATAATAATAAATGGCAAAATTAATAATGCTAACAAAAATGAAAGAATGTTATTTTTGTAAAGGAAAACGCTTACCAAGTGCCAA